GATCGTATTTTCCCTTAGCGTATCGTACCAAGCCGTTTCGCGATTAACGAGAACGCTAATGACGTCACTATAACATTTCCACTTCCGGTCCAACAGACAGCTACTTACCGTCCTCAATGGAGATTGGCGTGATGGACGTATCGCCACCTTTTATTTGGACATTTCCACGATACCAAACAATGGACGCTGCTGGCTTGGCAAATCTCACTGCGCATTCCAGTGTATGCGACTGTCCTATCTTCGCCTCGATTTTCGCCTGGTTCGGATGGCTGCTGATTTCCACCTTGACCGGCGGCGCTGAAACGAAAAGAACAATTTGTGTGAAAGATTTGAAAAAAAAAAAAAAATTCGACAAGCCAAAGAAACAAAGTCGAGATAAAAAATACAAAAAAAAAAAAGATAACTAAAAAAAATCAATAAAGAATATTGCAATATCCTCGTGAGTTGCAAAGCACTCTCCCGCGATGACGCCCAAAGGGTGACTCGGGAGAATATGAATTTGTCGATAGGCGCGAGAGAGCTTTAATGCACGTGGAATCGAGCGTTATGCTAATGAATCCGAACTCTCGGTACCTCGACCGTAGCAAATTCCCATTAACATAGACCGTTCCTGCTTATTTCAATTTCTTGAAAAATTGCCAGACTCCGGGCTACGTGTACAGGAAGTTAGTAATACAAGGCTGTAGGACGAGTGCGTCACTCATCCACTCAGTCGGTATGGACGCTCTCGAGATCCCTGAACGCATATCGTAACTAGTGGCTGTGGCATTCTATGGGTCAGTCGAGTGTATCGGCAATGACGGCTGCTTTTCACAAAGTAAATTTTACTTCGATTTACGTTACCGAGAACCAGAGTTATCCGTACCCGACTCTATGTAGTGTGGCCGTAGGGTGAGAACATAATGGCTCGGTGTGTGCACACCCTAATGTAAATACGCTCTTTTGGCAGATATCGTATTTCTATTATATACATATATAGGCGCATATACGTTACGCCTATCGTAATGCTACACATTGTTTCCCTTGCTTTCACTATGTGGATTAAATCCTGAATCGTTACCCTGATTGTAATACGTTGAAATATCCATACGGGATAATTAGCAATAGGAAGGATATGTGTTTTGCGAATAGTCACGTAAATCGGGCTATTGCTACGAACATGTAGCATGTAATTTGACAAGACGAAATAGGGAGAATTAAAAAAAAAATAATTACAAAATTTCACACATATTTTTTACAAGACATCGAGAAACTCGTTTTTTTTTTGTTTTTTTTTTTTTATCCTATTCACGGATAATAGGGATTAAACGGGTAAAATGTTAAGGGCGCAGGAAATACGTGAAATCACATTTATTTCTACTTAAATGAAAATGCACTTTAAATTAATGAGTTCGAATAAGCCGCCCGGTACTTTACTTGCGGTGAAAAATGTTCTATGGATTTAGCGGCTACTTGGTCAGGCCGGAATCCGTTGTACGAGCTACTCTTTCGATTGGGGGATGAAATGGTATCGAGAGTGAGAGAGAAAATTGGGTAAGGAAAGTCAGTGTATATATGGAGCAATGCAAGGGAGGTTTTTACCTACCCTTATTTTTATCCTTTGGTCACATTTCTATTTTCGGTACGTGCCCCTTTTCCTTGGGGTTTTTTTTTTGTCGTCGAAATTCCTTGTACTTTTTTTTTTTTTTTTTTTTTTCTCCCCCCCCCCCCCCCCAAGCCCTCTTTATTCTCTTTCTTTGTATAACCTTAAAAGCCGTATATTTCTATCCTCAAGGTCCATCGAACTCGTTTTCTTTCTCTCTCTCTCTCTCTCTCTCTCGCTTTTCCACTTGCCATTGTTACTAGGCCATAATGACGTAATACCAATGTTACGCAATTTTCATATCCGTCGCAGCAAACATTCTGCTGGCGAATTCGAACGTATGCAAGCTTTCCAATGAATAAGGTTAATCGGGTCGAAAAGCCATACAGGGTTTGAAAACTAGTTTAACAATTTGCACCACGTAAGTGAAGGGTACACGTGTGCGGATATATTCATACATGGTATATACGAAAATAGCATAGGGATTGGTACGATCGAAAGTGAAAAATCTTGCTGGATCCATTTGGAATAAGTAAATTGAATGGGGCAAAGGTGGATATAAAATTTTAGAACGCGCGGGAATTTCGAACAGTGCCTAAAGCCAAAGTCTTCCGTATCCTCGAGTTCGAAGATAATAAAAGTCTCGCGTAAACTGACGACTTCGGTGGCTGGATTAAAAGCCTTATACCTGCAAATTAGATTGAAGCCCCAGTAGGTCGTTAAGGATTTTTATTGAGGTTCGACTAGGGGAAATCTTTTATTACCTTTTTTCTTTTTTTTTTTTTTTCTTTTCTTTTCCTATTTCATTATGCACTTTGACTCTGTACGTGTTCAGTTAGCCTTTTAAGGTAATAAGACTTTGGGGATGCACGTCGAGAGCTGAATTCGTATTTAGAATTGTCAATGAGTCACGTGAGATTTCGATCGTCGTCATTAAGGCTTTTGGATGAGATTGCTAAGGAAATATATATATATATACATCGGCAAAGCCATCTTAGTATCATATATCTCCCGAAATTATCTCGATCTCTCGACGTTCTGATTACAGTTAATATTTGGACGATAAAGCCAAAAGACAGATGTGAACCGAGAGGGTGAGCATTTAGGGAAATAATGGATGCTGTATTTTCCATCTCGTCGCGATACCATTGTTATCTGCAAGGAGTCCGCGTCTCGACGCTCGGCGTCGCTTATTCCGTGGTTAACTGTTCCCTTGAATTTTCAACCCTTCTGAATTTTATTCCGCTCCTATAGTAGGTGTAACCTTATATCGCGTTACGAACACGTACCCCCATGCGCGACAACCCTTAACGCAGATAAAAGAAATCGACGCCGGGCGTCGCGACGACTCTTTCTTACTTGGGAAATTGATTTTATTGTTATTAAAATTATTACTTTTTTTTTTATTTTGCCACCTCGGAAATTTTTACCTTTTTTTTTTTACTGTATTATGTGACGTCATTTATTTCTAAGGATAATTTAATTAATTCACGTATATACGAGATGCGGCTTTTTTCTTTTTTTTCAAACTACCACAATAATTCCTATGGTTATGAAGTTGCCCGCGAAATCTTTTTTTTTTATATTTAGCCCCTTTGTCATTTTTCATCGGGTGTGCCACTGCGGCGAGGGTGGCTTTTAATTAAATAAATTTGCAGCCCCGTTAAAAGTCATTAAGTCCAGGGCGCTCCGGGTAATTGGGCGAACGGGTAAGAATTAAGAACGCGTCTACCGAGAGACATTTCGTGTCTTCTCATTCTTTCCTTTTTTTTTACATTCAAGGAATAACCATACAATTTTAAAACACGCGTAAGAATTCCAGCTACGCATTATATACGTATATAACTTTTTTCCGGCTGTACGGTTCATCGGAATTTCTATACTAGAGCAGTTCTGGATCTCGAGCGCCGAGAAGTTTCTTAGGGCTTCGCGGAAATTGGTACAGTTGTCGCAAAGAGAAGCACAGTAGAGTATACATGTTCCAAGCGTTCGATACGTATTGTGCCGTCAGTGTTGCGAGAAGGAAAGAAAAAAAAAAGATAAAACGAAAAATACTATAAGAATCTTACGTAATAATATACTAGTAAAATAGCATAATAATAACAACAATAACGTCACGAGTAAAAAATTTCTCCGAAAAGCAGGAAGCTAAATCGATTTTTTCAATTTTCCATAAATTTCGGATTTAAGGAAATTGTCAAAAAGATAAGTGCGGCGACGAAAATTTAGAGAAAAATAAAAAAAAGAAGAACATCGTACACGCTATAGTCGACTCGCGTAACAATTTTACCTTCAAGGGAAGACTCGTAAATCTAACCGACCCCATAAAGTCAGATATACACAGGTACACATAAGTATTTACATACGTACTCAGGCATTACGTAAATTTACAGCGTCGCCAAAAGACACATCCCAGCCAAGATAATCTTGCGTGGTTTGAGTAATGGGTGTATCACGGTACAAAAAACCCATAAAAGAAATTCAGGGCCGTCACGCGTTGGTTCTTCGGCGTAAACACGAAATCAGGTTAAAGCACGAGAAAAGTACGAATGACAACGTCGCGAGGAAAATTTGAACGTACGTAAAATTGGTGTAAGCAGATAAAAGAAAAAAAGATGAAAAAAGATTAAAAAAAAAAATAAATCAAAATAAAAAATTTTTCTGTCTGAAATCAGTGCCCGGAGCGAGTTCGCTTTTTATTAAATGCAAAAATCGTATGTACCGTCTGTTTCGAGTAGGAAGCTGAAATGTTTCTAGTGGCGTAGTAGCGAAGCGTGGAGAAGGGAAGGAAAGGGAGGGGCGAATGGGTTGAAAAAAAGTGTACAGACTGATGGCAAGGGTTCTCCTGAGTTACGGTAACTCTCCCTTGCCTTAATATTCACGCGCCAACGATCCTCAGACGGACGCACTCGGCCCGACGATAAATTCGTCGTGCAGGCATATCCCTTATAAGGGAGAGACTTTACGATTAGGGACGTGAAACCTGTGGACGGTTGTAAGATTCGCGGTCACCCTATAGATTATCAGGATGCACGTGGACGCAGAAACCGATTTGGCCCCGCGCGTAGGACAAGTATGGAATATTTATAAAACAGCGTGCAACGTGTATTGTTTCCCATTTGTCAAAGAATACGTATACAGCTTTTCGAAGCCATGGACGAGATTGGTTTTTCCGGGAGGGAAAAATATTTTCCGGATTCAGTGGCGCCGATCGAACGAAAGGGGATTGGGTACGAAGATCCACGGTAAATGGGACGACAGAAAGTATACCCGGAGCCTTGGCCTTTTATTTTCTACGGCGAATCAAATTCTGCACATGACCTATGGGTAACGGGTTAAAGTTCTATAAATTAAATCTTACGCAATAACCTATACGTAATGGGATAAAAAATTCTATAAAATTTTTATAACTCCACAGGGATTAAATTTATCTCAAATAAATCGACTGATCCTGACGCAGATGGGGTGATAAATAAATCTTACGGATTTCGCAAAAGGACAATGGGAACCTATGGATCGCGGATCTCGACGAGCTTTGGGATAACCATGAAGGAGGATACTGGACCAAAAGCATATCTATTGTGTACCGTATAAATCTTTGGTGTTCCAAAAGCCATAAAAAAAAAGTCATTCTTTCTTCGGGAAAACTCGGTAGTTTCCGTTCGAAGAAAGACAAAGGTCCGTTAACCGGAAGCCTTGTTGAGCTTAGGGGCTA